GGCAGAAGCAGCCTTTGCCTCCAGTCGCAGTTGATTGCTGAGTGGGTTCCGGTCAGGCGAGGTTCTGGCTTTGGTGGCCTCTGGCCCAGGCGTGAGTGCCCGTGTGGCCAGGCATGGAGCGAGTTCGGAAGGAAGGGGTGCCCGCGCCTGTGTCTGTGTGTCAGCTGGATCGTGCTGACACCTGTGTGTCTGTCCTTCAGGAAGAATCCCATGGCTTGGTCCGGGTTGTACCCCCTGCCAGGGCAGATGGCTTTTTCACTCATTAAGGCTATCAGTCACTTTGTCTGCACGTTTGCTCCCTGCCCACCAGTGCTGGCTGGCAGTGGAGCGGTCCCCTCCCGCTCTGGCAGGAAGCTCAGGACCCGGCGGTGCAGATTGTAGGGGAAGAGCATTGCCAGCGGCAGAGGGATCCCGTGTTTAAAAGCCCTGGAAAATGCCAGGAAGACCCACGGGCAGGAAGGGCAGGCTGTGGGAAGAGGGCTGCTGGTGTCCTCAGAGGTCATCCAAGGTCATCCTCTGTGCTTCTTTCGCTTTTCATGCTCACTGTTTCATAGTCTCTAGCTCTGCGGCTTCTCTCCTTGGTGTTGTTAAGGGAAGGTGGAATTTAGGCAGATTTGTGGCACCCCAGCCATCCGTGCAGAGTCTTGACTGTAGAAAACTCTTTCATGACTCTGCCAGGTGCATGCGTTTAGAATCTAGCTTTGGGCGGTGTTTGGACGAGATGGGCTTCCTCAACTTCCTCCTGTCCGTAGAATTCAGTTCGCTGGCAGAGGACCAGGAAGGAAGCCGCTGCCGGACTGAGCCTTCCTCGAAGGAGGCGTAACTGCGTCTGCATCCGTCACAGACCCCAATCTTCCAACAGATTCAGCAGTCTGGAAGGGGGGGAAGGGCGTGGCGGCCCGCAGGAAGCCCAGCATGGAGTCCAGCAGCACTGGCCGCCACCGCCACCGCTAAGTGATCCAAGTGATCCGTCAGTGGTTCAACGTTTTCTCAACAGGTTTCCCTTACTGCTCCTGGTCTGCATTTTCCATTTATCCTCCAGCTGAAGCGCATGCGTGTGTGCGTGTGTGTGTGTGTGTGTGTGTGTGTGTGTGTGTGTGTGTGTGTGTCCTGTAATAGCACAGGCTTTCATTTCACGCTGTGATTTTTGGTTTTGCCTCTGCCTCCCTGTTTTGATCACGTGGGAGATAGAAGACGAAGCGGCATGCATTGCACTAGCCTGCAGTTTGGGCTCCTTCTGCTAGAGCCCCATTGTTAAAAGTCCATGGGGCTGGGCTCCATGTCTCGCACTTGTAACTCCAGGTCTCTGGAAGCAGCCGCAGGGATTGCTGCCTCTCAAGGCCAGCCGGAGCAAAAAGTGAGCAAGACTGGCATCTCAAGCAGAGAGCCCGGCGTGAAGTATACACCTGTGGTCCCAGCTCTGAAGGAGGCTGTAACCAGTGGGTCACTATCCACTAAAAAACCACCTCAGAGGTCTGGCTCAGGGGGCAGAGTGCCCGCTCGCCTAACGTGCAAGCCCCTCAAGAAATGGGAAAATAAAGAGGGTTTGTAGCGGATGGAGTCAGGGCCGGACCTCCCTGCCTGCCTCGGTGTCCTTGCGCGATCACCGGAGAAGGGCAAGAGGCTGTCTGGGTTTGTCTCCGTCCAGCGAGGCTTAGCCACGGTGACTCGGCAGCAGTAACCTTTCTCCTTTCCACATTTTCCTGGCAATATTTGTATATTGCTGAGGGAGTTCATAAGTCGTAGTCTTTATTATATGGCTACCAGACAAGAAAGCAAACCCTTGGGTTATATTTTCTGTGTAATTAGTGCACCATAACATGCACTTTGGTGAGTCACTCTAATAAAGGGGAAGTGTTTCGTTTTATATGAGCTTAGTTCTTTCTGTAGATATAATAGGTTCTACACAGAGCCTATATGTATTTGTGCAGATGCTCTACACACAGTGTGTGTGTGTGTATATATGTTTATGTATGCACGGGAAAATTTCTAAACTGTAAAAACCTTCATTTCCTCAATTTCTACAGAAGCTGTATCTGATTATTAAGTTCTTGGTCAACCAAGTGCAAGCCCTAGGAAGACTCTTAACATTGTTCTTTACTTAAAAATAATTTTAGCTTAAAGCCAGACACTGGCGGCTCACGCCTGTAATCCTAGCTACTTACTTAGGAGGCTGAGATCTGAGGATAGAGGTTCAAAGCCAGCCCAGACAGGCAATTCTGTGAGATTCCTATCTGCAATTAACCAGCAAAAAGCCAGACGTGGCGCTGTGGCTCCCCTGGCAGAGCGCTAGCCTTGAGCACAGAAGCTAAGAGGTAGTGCTCAGGTCCAAGTTAAAGCCCTAGTATTAGTGCACGCGCGCACACACACACACACACATACACTACTGTATGTCAGCGGCGACACGCTGGTCATTTGTGTGTGTTGTCTGTAGCCCTGAAGGTAAGCGCTGGCAGCCGGTGGCTTACACTGTAGAGACAGACACATTTCAGGTGGCGATTGGTGTGAAGGACAACCAAGAGATGCAGGAGAAGAGAAGGCGGCATGGCAGAGGGTCAGGCAGAGGGCCGCGCGGGGCCGGCCCCGCATTGTCGGGAGCAGAAGCGGGCAGCTTGAGTTCTGGCAGGACAGCGTGGCAGGGACCAGGCCAGGCCCCCCACGCCACGCCAGCCCCTTCCCAGCTCGGCCGGGGCTTGTCTCTCCTGCTCAGTTGCTCTCCTCTGTGCCCCGTTACCACTGAGCCCTGGAGGGAGAGGCTAGCACAGGGAAGCGAAATACAAGCCAGTTTTCCAGCTGCCTGTCTATACAGGAGCGAGCTGTGGTCAGGCTGACTGCATTGGCATCGCTGACTCCCAGCACACGGCACCTCCCTCCTCCTGTCGCCAGCGCCGGGTTCATGGGTTCTCTCCAGGTCTCCTGCAGGGGGACCCTCTCCCCCCCCCACTGCCGCCACCGCTTTCCAGCAGGGGATGCCCCCCCCCCCCCGCTTTCCAGCAGGGGCGGGAGGACCTGAAGCAGACAGACGGAGGGAGACCCGGGAGGCTCGTTTCAGCTCAGGGATCCCCAAGTGTTCCTCCGTGGCTGGTGGGCTCTGTGGACATTGGAGTGTGGTGGGGAGCAGAGCCGGTGAGGCCCCAGCACCCCTTCAGTGGCATGACCCCCGGGACCTCACTTCCTGTCACAGGGCTCCGCTTCCGGAAAGCTCTGTCACCTCCCAGTCCCACCCGGGGAGTTACATCTCAAAAGGGAAATTGTCCCTATATCAGCAGACTCTACTTTCTGAACCTTAGTTCGATTAAAAAGCAAGGCCCTCCTCCCATAGTGATTTCCATTAAAAATATATATAGTAATAGGGGCTGGGAAGGTGGCTCAGCGGTAGAGCGCTTGCCTTGCATGCCTGAGGCCCTGGGTTCGATTCCTCAGCACCACATAAGCAAAAAGAAAATAGCTGGAAGTGGCGCTGTGGCTCAAGTGGTAGAGCGCTAGCCTTGAGCTGAAGAGCTGAGGGACAGTGCCCAGACCCAGAGTTCAGGCCCCATAACTGACAAAAGTGTGTGTGTGTGTGTATTAATATTAACAAGCGAGGTGAGGAGTACAGTTCTTTGTAGATGACATCACGCCTTTCTTCACCTTGTGTTTCGTTCTTAAATGTTAGGTTTTTGCCTGAAAAGTAATGCTTCGGTTTTTCTGTGGGGGTCAGTTTGCTCTGTTGATGTCTTTAGTTTCAATCAGGCTATTCAGCACGTTTGTCACCTGACAGACCTTAAAGCTGTCACAGTCATCAGAGGGAACAGACCCATCCTTCCCTCATTGCCTCTGCTTCGACCTTGTCGGGTGGATTATCTGGCAGTTCTCCAGGGTTTCTCGTAGGAAATAACTCCGGTTGTGCCCTGGCTGGAGCTGCTCTCCTGGTCGTGGGGCACTTGTGCACACGTGCACTTGCTCCCGCTGCTGAAAACACTCGCTAGCTCCCGCGGCTCCCCTCCTCACGCTCACTCCATGCTGTTGCTTAAATCAGTGTTACACCTTTATACCTACGTGTTATGTAAGCCTGTCCTTAATGGAGACAGCTTATAAGTAGTGCTTGGTTTTTTTTTTCCTTTGATGTTTTATTTTGATAGATTATAATTGCTTTATTCTTTGGTCTAGTGTTGTTGTGTTTTTTTTTTTTTTTGGTTGGATGTGGGACTTGAACTCTGGGCTTGGGCGCTGTCCCTGCACTCTTCAGCTCAAGGCGAGTGCTCTGCTGCGTGAGCCACAGCGCCACATCTGGTTTTCTAGTGTTTATTGGAGATAAGAGTCTCACAGACTTTCCTGTCCAGGCTGCTTCTGAACCACGATCCTCAGATCTTAGCTTCCTGAGTAAGCTAGGATGACAGGCGTGAGCCACCATCTCCCAACCTAGTCGTTGTTTTTTTAAATTTGTATTTTCACTAATTCATTTTGTTTGCTAGCTGTCTAAAGTATATGAGTGCCTTCTGCCATTTTACATTCCCGAAGGAGTCTCCAACAGGACTATTCACCAGTTCCAGGGCCTCCACTTTAGGCTCTCAGCTAGCCTAGAGGTTCTTCTCATCTGGACTCCAGTTTCTTGATTCTTGGTGTAGCGAAACTAGAAACTTCTTGAGAAAAAGTCACGGGAGGCAGATTTCCTGAGAGTCTGCATATCTGAAAAGCCCTGTTGCTCAGGCATTGATTGCTTTGCAGAATTCAAGGTCAGAAGGAAATGCTGCATGTGATTTATCTGTTTCTTTTTGGCTTAGTTTTTGTAAAGTGGAATAATTTACTTTTATTGTCATGGCAATCTTATGAAAAATGTCGGGCTTTGCTTTTGTGCCTGAAGTCACTCTCCAGGGCTCCCGCTCGTAGATGGGTTTTCCAGCTCTCAACCTCCTCTTATTTTTCAGAAGCCCTTGACTCTTGCTGAACCTGTAAGCACGTGGTAACTAACGCCTCTGCACCATTCCTCCTCCTCAGAGTGAAGACACCCAGCAGCAGATCATCCGGGAAACCTTCCACCTAGTGTCCAAGAGAGACGAGAATGTCTGCAACTTCCTGGAAGGAGGCTTGTAAGTCCGCCTGTGCCCTTGGCACCACATGACCTGTTGGCAGTGCCGCCGTGACTGGAGCAGGTGGATTAAGTGCTTCCCCTCAGCGTAAATCTAACCCAAACTGTCAGTCTATGCATTCTCCCTAACAGTGTGGTAAGAGCATTTCATACAAATGCAACATAATGTATCCTCACGGTAAAAACCCCCACGTTACAAGAAGATACTCAGTGAATAAGATACTCAGTGAGTCTGTTTTCCCCAACCTTCGTCCTTCCCAGTTCCTTTTGTATCCTTCTAGAAAATTCATCTGCATTTACTAACATACAAAAGGTATAACCTTAAAAATACTGCTGATGAGGTCACGCTCTATGCTCTTTGCATGTTGCTTGTTTTTGCCCAATATTTTGAAAAGCTTTACCTATAAACACATCTGAGCAACCTCATTTTTAATGACTGTGAGTATTCAGAAAAGTTTAGATGATGTCCTTTTTTATTTTGTTATTACAAATACGGCTGACATGTTTTTCAAATATATATATATATATATATATATATATATATATTTTGTCGGTAGTGGGGCTTGAACTCTGGGCCTGGGCGCTGTCCCTCAGCTCTTCAGCTCAAGGCTAGTGCTCTACCACTTGAGCCACAGCACCACTTGCTGTTTTCTAGTGTGTTATTGGAGATAAGAGTCTCATGGACTTTCCTGCCTGGGCTGGCTTTGAACTGCAATCCTCAGATTTCAGCCTCCTGAGTAGCTACGATTACAGGCGTGAGCCACCAGCGCCCGGCTTTCAAATGTATTTTTCTGTATACCTAAAGATCAGGATTCAGCTTTTTATATATATCTATATCTATATCTATATCTATCTATCTATATATATATATATATATATATATATTTTTTTTTTAGCACCAATCCTGGCACTTGAATTCAGGGCCTGCTAACTGTCCCTGAGCTTCTTTTTTGTTCAAGGCCAGCACTCTACTACTTGAGCTATAGTTCTACTTCTGGCTTTTTTGGTGGTTCATTAGAAATAAGGATCGCATGGACTTCCCTACCCTAGCTGGCTTAGAACCATGATCCTCACATCTCAGCCTCCTGAGTAGCTAAGATGACAGGCGTGAGCCACCAGCACTTGACTGCTTTTTCTATTTTTAAAGTGAATAAATAAGATTATTTGTAATTAGTTTGCTAAGTAGTATGAACTTTTAAATTAATGGTTTCAACCGACATCAGTTTGCTTTCTAATGTTTTCATAAATACATTGCCCCCATTTATATAGTCAATCTATGCTTAGTAATATACATCCTCAGTGGGAATTCAGACTAATTCTTAGCTGAGCTTTGTGACTGATCACAGGTCAGAGACACCTAGACTTGCAGTACTCCAGTCTGTGATGCTTATGAAAAAAGAATTTCATTGACCATAAGTTTCTTGGTTCAGGTAGAAATCTGACTTGCAGTTCTTACCTTTCCTTTTTTTTTGGGGGGGGGGTGTCCCTCAGCTCTTCAGCTCAAGGCTAGCACTCTACCAGCGCTCTACCACTTGAGCCACAGCGCCACTTCTGGCTTTTTTCTTTTTTCTTATTTGGTGCTGAGGAATCGAACCCAGGGCCTCAGGCATGCAAGGCAAGTGCTCTACCACTGAGCCACCTTCCCAGCCCAGTTCTTTTCATTGGCAAGGTTTGAACTGAGGGCTTTATACTTGCTGGGCAGGTACTCTTCCATTACTTGAATTTAAGCTTGGTCTTTATTTTTTTTTCCTCAGGGTTTGAACTTAGCACACTTGAGCCACGTTCTTTTGTTTTCTCTACTTTGTTTTTCAGAGAGGATCTCACACTAGACCCTGCTTAGCTCAGACGCTGATTGATCTTCTTACCTCTGAGTATTATAGGCATGTGCTACCACACCAAGACTGCCTTTTTTTCTTCTTCTTAGTCAAAGCAAAAAAGAAAAATTTAAGTCACTGTTTTAGAAGGAAGTGAAGTGTGTTGTTTGTGCTGCTTTGTCATTTCAGGAGACCATTGTAACTATAGTCACACACATAATCTCAGAATCTTGGAAATGCACATACGTTCTTTTAGATGAAGACCTTTTCTAGAAGTGTCTGGCATAGCAGGAGTTCTTAATCCTTTTCTATTTTTGATGTTGGATAACATAGAATAGAAGTTGTTTCTGCAGAACTTGTAAGCTTGGCATTGTGTTTACTGGATAAGAGCTATGTGCTCAGGACTCCAGGCCTAGCTCTAATTCTTGAATGCCATTCACAGCCAAGCACATCCAGTGAGGCCAAGTGTAAGCCCTGGCTAGTACAGAGACAGACAGACAGACAGACTGACTCTACTTATGTGCTGTTTGGATCCTTTAAGTAGCCTTGGTATTAAATTACCTTAGCATTAAGGAGTCTTAGGAGAAGGTGAATTTGTTATAGTAAACGTAGTTATGATATGCCTAAACTATAGGAAATAAGAGGTCTGGAATGGTTCATAAGTTACTGTTTTTAAACTGCTGACATTCTAACCAGCCTAAAGTGTTTCACGAATGAATTGACCATAAGTTCAGTTTTCTTTTGTTTGAATTTCAAAATGATGTGCTTTTGCAGGAGACCTCCATTGCAAATCTATCTAAAACTTAAGAAATATCCTTTTTTTTTTTTCTAGTTGATAATCAGTCTTAAGCTGTGTAACTTTGTGTGGCCTATGGAGTTACATCCAGTAAGCGCTTACGACACTGTGACCTAAGTTCTGCCTGTTTCTTTGACTTGGTTTACTAATCTTTCCTTGTCCACTGGCCTTTTTCTTCCTTGAGAGTTTGTACTTACTCGTGATTGGTTGTCACATTAACCCCAAATGTCGACTAAGTTTTCTCGTGGCGTCTCCCACCTTAGACATCAACCTCAGCGCCAGCCTTTGGAGGCGGCCCGGTCCAGGTTTGGTCCTCTGTGGCACATTTCACTACCTGGTAATCCACCTGTTTGTTTGCTCCATGCTTCTTACCCGCCTCCTGTGCTGGGACACAGTAGTCACTCACGGAGCAGCGGATGAATAAACCAACTACACCGAGCACTTGCTGTGTCTTAATCTACTTAGTGTGGGTCGTGAGCTCACGTGAGTGCTTCGCCTGTACATATTAACACTTGTCTGAGGAAGGGTTTTGAACATGCTGTGAGTGTGCTTGAGCCAGCGAGCCTGTCTGCTCTTCCCCACGACGTTCCAGTGGCTTTGTTTTGTCACGTAGGTTAATCGGCGGCTCTGACAACAAGCTGATCTACAGACACTATGCAACGCTGTATTTTGTCTTCTGTGTGGACTCCTCAGAAAGCGAACTTGGCATTTTAGACCTCATTCAGGTGAGCGAACATCACTTCCTGGTATCTTTTCCA